TCTTTTCAAGTCACGTAGACATACGAAAAATAATTGTGTCTCAAGAACGAAATATCATATCGTGATGAAAATAAACTACTTTTAATTAGAAAATTGTAAAACTTAAAAGTTATTTTTTTGCAAGAAATTGAGCCAAAAAATCATTTTTTTCATAGATTGATTCTAAATTTTAATCATATTCATTGTGATGAGTAATAAAAAAATCATCAGCTTAATTCTTGTCTTATTACTATGGATTTGAAATGCGTATAACGGCTTAAAAGGAACATTTTAATATATATATATATATATATATATATATATATCATGAAAAAAAGTCACTTGTTCTTATCAGTATTTGTGCATTTTAATTACGATTAAACTTTAGTGACACCTGATATTACTTATGATATTTAAGATGTATGTATTTCTTCTGATTGTATTATCTTAGTGACACCTGGTACTACTTTGATGTTTAAGATTGTATTGTCTTTCTGACACCTGGTACTACTTAAGAAGTTTTAAGATGAACTTATTATTCTTCATTGTATTGCCTTGGTGACATTTTTGATGTTTTAGATGTCCATACTCGTTCTCCCCTAATTGTATTATTTAAACGCCATGGTGAGCTTTCGTGTTTTTCGATTTTAAATATTTCACTTTCTACTCGGCAATCTAAAAATATATATCTAATTAAATGGAATTTATTCATGAAGTTGTTAAAACACTTAATTAGAAGCATTGTTGTAATTTCACTGATATTAGAGAGAGGAATATAGACAAGCTATGATTAAAAAAAATAATAATAAAACAAAAGACCGAATCTGAGAGTTGACATAGGGTCTTGAGTTATAGCATTTTGACATCAGAACGAACGCTAAATTTGCTTACAATCTACATAATTGTATTTTTATGAAATTAGAACACGCAATTTGTTCATTCCTTTTACCTATTTTTCTGAAAGGTATCTTCAAATAATTCTTTGTTGTTAATTTGATAAAAAAAATATCAAAAGATGACGAAAATGATTGTTTTCTGTATTCTGTTTGATAAGACAATCTTCAAATAAATCTTTGTTGTGTTAATTTCATAAAAATATCAAAAGATGACGAAGATTATTGTTTTCTTATTCTGTTTGATAAGACAAATATTCAGCTTAATGAAAAAAAATCACAAAACTCAGAGCACAAGCAGAAACGTCTTAAATGCCTTACATTACATGGATATATCAAAAAGTACCAATATTCAAGCTCATCACTGTAAGGAATAGGAGGAAATCCTAGAAAATAGGAAAGCAAATTATTTTGATTGAAAAAAGATCACATTAACAAGGCTTATTGTTTAAAACTAGAGATGTCAACGAATAGTCGACTATCAGTGGAATGGACCGACGATCGAATAATGAAATGACATTCGAATAATTAATAAATGCAAAAAAGGAGGTGTTAAAGAATTCTCAAATCAAAATTGTAAAGCGTCATTCCTCAAACCATTTTAGTATCCGTCTTCAGACGAATAAGAGCTTAAACACAGTCACAGTATTTAAAAAGAAACCATGGTATTACATGGAAAGAATAGTAATTGTATACCAGGATAATTATTTCTTAATTACTGTCCTTTTCTGTTATTGTAAGTAAATTATGCAGCGCTTTACTGGACTTTGAAAATTATTGATTGGACTTGTTCCAATTATTAATCTATTTAATACCTCTAAGAATGTTTAAATTATGCAATAGGACCATAGCATAGCCGTGAAGTTTTGAAACTTCGATAATTATTAAAACAATAATCTGGTCCCCTTTTCCAATTTATTTTAAATAATCTTTAAAAACAATACTGACAATTCTCTAAGCTTGTTAGAACGAAAGAATGTACAGATCAATTTATGAATTTGATTTACGAAATTTCAAACATTTTGGAGAATCAATTGCTGGTGTAAATTTATTTCATTTCTATATATTATCTTTTATCTAAATATCGGTGTGTAACACGCAGTATAGGCATTAAATGTTAATTTTTACATTAATTTACGAAAAGGGTTTTCGATTTCTGAAAACTCTATCAATGAGATTTTTCTTTCAAAAATGCTCCGAATAGTCGACTATCCTTCGAATAATGCGATCGAATGTTCTACTAAGAAAAATAAATATTTTGACATCCCAATTTAAAACACATATATGATAAAGTAAAATAAACAAATGAAATATCAACACTGGGTATTCAAATTTATACAAATTTCAGTAAATCTAACATTAAGTGGAGTGCCAACTGACGTTTCTCACGCTAACTGTTAGATCATTATTCATTTATTTCTTTCCGTTCTTCAGTTTGATCATCATAAATAATAAAAGGCGTGTGATTATCTCAACAGGAAGGCTAATTTATCCAAGGCACCCGATCCCAGCTCTGATTAATTAGTGTCTTTGTTAGATACTCAATTTGCTGACGAATGCTTTTCATATTTTTTGTAAGTCCATTATTTATACACGGAATTGACTAAGGATTTTTCCGTTATTTTCTGTTCATGACAAGGAGCACACGGTGGGTGTGACCGGTCGTCAGGGGATGCTGCATGGCACCTGATCCCACCTCTGATGTTTCAGAGGTTCGTCTTTGCCCTTCATTTTGAATTGTTTTATGGACTTGATTTTGAATACTGTTCGTTATCCTCATATATATGATTCATTGAATTTATGATGACATATCCGTAACATTTAATCTTTATATTCATAATCTATTTCCACAAAATTACCCCAGACTTTATTTTTACTTAAGATTCACTGCCAAGAGTCATGCTCTTGAGAGTTTGGGTTAGGGTTAGGTAGGGGAAATATGTTGTTAAATCAATGAGTTCAATAGTTCGCTTTAAGTGACGATTTCATAGATTTTGTTATTGATACGATAACCTTGTCAAAAAATGAGTTCATACTTAATTCCTATGTTAACTGGCATTTGTATACAAATTGATGGGCCATTTTCTCACTTTGAATTGTTTGGTTATTTTTGGTTCGCTCGATCATGACAAGGAGCTTACGGCAGGATTGACCGCAGAATGGGAATACGTAATCCTCCCTATTTTTTGTGATATGCTAGTTCTCATGACATCATGAATCCATGAACCCAATATGTCTTGTAATTTGTTAAAAGTATGTCTGTTTCTATGTGCAGTTTAACTATTACGAGGGCCGTTAAAAGATTACGCGGACTTGTTGCACAGAAAAAATTGACGACATAATTGGGCCAAATGTCACACATAATATAAAATATCTTTACTTATATGGTCTTTAAAATTTCATATCAAAATGTTGTAAATTTATATCAATTTTGAGTGATTAATCAGGACATATCATTGAGTCACGGACATAATAAAAAAATAAGAGATTCAAGTTCATTTTCTCAACATTTTCCCAAGAGTTTCTGTACAGTTTGAGTTACCTTATCTACTATACATCCTCAAAGCATTTCTTATTAAATATAAAATCTTTAAAACAAGAATAGCATATTCTTTATTTTTGTTTTTTGGATCATGTTTTCGTCGGTTATCTTCTTCCTGTCCTCCCGTATTGCCTTTTTGCAGAGGTCTAACGGTCTAAAATTCCAATATACTATTTATAGACAAATGTCACGAATAGCCTAGTTTACTACATGCTTTATTCTGTATATTTTGGATCTACGTTGACGATATCTCGAGCAATACACATAATCTAACAAAACTGTGGTGTTCCGTAAATTCAAGAAACTTCATTTCAAAGTCTTTTTCACAGGAATCACATCGAAGAAAAATTATTTTTTTAGTACTTCAAATATCACGTCAGAAATTTAAATACATAGTGATAGAACAAAATAAAGATACATTTGAGAAAACTGTTAAAAAATATCACGAATTATAGAAAGTTAATGAGTTAAATTTTGGATTCTGCATGTTTGTGTTTTTAAAATATTTTGTCGTGCTCCGTACCTCTTCATCCGCGATATGAACATGCCAATAATATTTGGAGAAATTTTAAAAAATACAGATATTTTGGTAAAAATTTATTGGAATCTTTAAGATACATATTTCTGTGAAATTTTATAATTATATGACGCCAGTAAGAATAAATAATAGCAGAGTCCACATACTTTTTGAACGGCCCTCGTATTTATACAAACTCAAAGAAAATTGCTTCTGACTTTTAAAGATAAAATACTGTTAGTGAGATTCATGTGCTATCTTAGCTATTCACCATTTTGGGTCTTATGGTAATAAAACCAAGGTATTATTTTACATGTAACACGCCAACTATGATCATTAAAGAGTTCTCTTGTCATTGTATTTAACAAGTCGTCGTCCTTCGAATAATCGCTCGGTACTGTCAGAAGAAAGAAATTCAAAATTGAGTAAACCATTGATGATATATTGTGTTACATTAACATGTAGAGGCTAATGTATCAAAGTTGAAATAAATCAATAAATTTTAATAATGACTAAGAGTCAGATAATTGTTTCTTTTAATTCATTTTGGAACTGCTGAATTTTTAATTTGATTCAAGAAAATATAGACTGATTTTCCATATTTAAAGATAGCTAATGTTAATAAAAACCACTGTACAATAAAACAGATATTAACTAGTGTAAAAAAAAAACCAGAACACATTTCATTGTAATATTTCAAATCGCAATTTCAGAAAAAAAATCACAATTCATATTAACTTCAAAAAATCTATACTTAAACAAGAGTAAAATATAGAAAACTTCACAGTTAGCCAATCGCTTTTCATTCATTGATTATGGTACGATTTATATATTTGGTTGTTGAAAAACCATTTAGCAGAATTTTACAGGTTCACAAGAACGCAGAATTTTTTATCTTGAAAAAATGAGCAGTCAGTGTGTCATATCCTTAATTGCTGGCTTCTTAGCTTTATGTAAAGCGACGATTATTTCTCAGAAATATACGGCAAATCTTGAGTTGAATGATAAAATATCAAACTACGAGATTTTGGGAGAACAGAATTCTCATTCTTTGACCGAGTGCGCCGCGATGTGTCAAAGGGAGTGCGTCTTCTTTGGTTTTAACTCGCAAACGAAGAAATGTCGTACCCACAAGAAAAGTCTAACGTCTGAGCTGTCTGAGGAGGTCGGATGGAGATACTACTCGGATAACGGTATGTCTACATGTTATTTTTTTTTTTCTATTTGCTTCTTTGTTTTTTAAGGTTCCTCTCAAAAAGAAACGATTTATTCTTTTGACATTTCTTTCTAAGTGGTATAAGTGTATTTTCAAAATAGTTACTAATAATATTCATTTAAGTTTTGTGATAAGGATCATTCTATACCATTAAAAAATTATAGCTTGTAATTAAATAAAAATCAACGAAAAAAAACTCACCTTAACCTAGTTTTTCGAAATTGCTATTTGGAAAACAGCTGTCCTGAAAGCTGAGATGTAAATCTTGTGTAATGGAGGAGTAAACGTCCTCTGTCGATCGGTCAGATCCACCGTGTACCCCCTCTCTTGATCCGGAAAATGGAAAGTTTTAGGATTTGATAGGATGGACTATGTTGGGAAACATGCTCATTGTATCGACCTTAGAATTTACGAGAAGTTAAATTTCACATACATTATATCATACAAAAAAGTAAATATCATGATTTTATTAGATTTTTCAACATCTATTTAATGGTCCAAATCGTTTATCATCTGATCTACAAGTGCATTCCTATTAACATTTCTTCCAATCCAAGGGGTATTGAAAATAGTTGTATATTATTTTAAATACTTTTAATTCTGTCATAAATCAGAGATTTGTAGCAATTAGAAAACAAGAAAAAATGATTTAAGATAATGAGGAACAGCTTAACCTGATCTGCATTGTACTTGTAGTTACCATTTTTGCTTCAGTAATAAACATTTCTATATCATGCAGGCATCATATATCCCCTCATCTCTACTAAGTATACATGATATGATCTCGGTACTTTTTTAGATTGTTGTTTTTCTGCCATGCCTAAAGATTGTAAAGATCTTTGTGAAGAAGGTCAAACTACTTCAGGGGTGTATTATATATACCCCTACAGTACACTAACAATTCCAATAAGTGTATACTGCGATATGACGACAATGGGTGGGGGATGGACGGTATGTAGTTTATTTCAAGATGAAAAGTACAGAATATAACTCACATTGTTTTGTTATCTTAAGATTGTAAGATTGAAATTAATATGAATATCTTGAGCTTATAAAATAATAAATGATTAATTAAAGCAATAAATTGAATTGTTAGAAATGCTAATTTTTAAAGGCCATTCAGAAACGCGTAGACGGATCCATGATCTTTGACAGGAACTGGGCGGATTATAAAAATGGCTTTGGTTCACCCGAACAGAACGACTGGGTTGGTAAGTGTACATCGCTTTCAACTAGTCAATTTTTATTCCTGCAAAGTTTATAGATAAAAAATTCTTCTGGCAAGTAAAAAAATATAAAGCGTGATAAAGATCTGAATTTAAGACTAGCTATGTAATATGTGTTCTAGGATATTTACATATCGTGTTTAATTGATATCTCAAATGATTAGAGAAAAAAGAAAAGAAGAAAATCATTTGGCGGCATATTTTTATCATAACAATTATAACATTATTGTTTATAGCTTATGAAGATAATTTGATTTTTCATAACGGTAGATTAACATATTTAGCAGAATTAATTATATTGCAATCGACTTTTCAGATGTTTTCAAATATATTCAAATACAGGAAATGACGTAATCCATCAATTAACAAAAGAAAACTCATCATCCCTGTACGTGTCCATCACTCTCCAGAATGGTACAACGCTGTATGAAATGTACGACAGGTTCTCTGTCTCCGACGAAGCAGGAAAATATCAACTCTTTCTTGCAGGAGCTGCTACGGGGACCTTAGGTAAGTGCATTCACGTTCTTTTTTAAAACTGGGCACAGATCACGTGTATCATCATCATAATACTTCTCTGTATTGAAATATTATTAAGCTGTTGAAAAAAAAGAAAGATACCTTTTTTCTGATATTCTGTATCTGTATACGTTTTTGATTCTACACTAAATTAACATGTTTAATGTTTCAGAATACCATTTGCAGGTACAATTCACAAATACAGCAAAAATTGAATCTGATATTGTCAAGTAGCTAAAATTTCAAATTGTATATTTTAAATACGAGGAAAATTAAGTTGTTATTTTAAATACACAAATCTAGTAATTACATTCGCTCAATCATTGTTATTCAGCTTGGGTTTCCTGATAATTCTTAATAATTTAATTTTAGTTGTAACACGTCATTTGATTAGTTAAGCGGTTTTCTCCATTTTGTATAACATAACTTGCCTACGTCACAATGAGTTACGTCAAAAACGTATTACTCCGCTTGACGTTAATTTTAAAATAACGTTAAATTTAAAACCTTTTTCAGGAGGAAATATTGTCTTATTGTCTACCCTGAAATTGAATTATAAGGAATGAAACTTATTTCAACTTATGTTATCCGATATAACAAAACTTGGGACAGTTTACGCTTTCTTATAAACTGCTTCGCGGTTTATAGAGCGTAAACTGCCCCAAGTTATGTTATATCGGATAACATAAGTTGAAATAAGCTTCATTCCTTAAATAATTCACATTTTAACTACTACGGAAAAAAGCTTGAAAGTAATTAATCTTTAATGTCAACATATTCACAAAAAATTGATGTGCAAAGAAAATTAATTGATCGGAAACAAAAATTTTAATTAAAAAGCCAAATTCGGAACACCTCAGTGTGTTTCACATTTACTATACCATTTTTCTTTAAAATTAGAATCTAGTCTGATTTTGAAAAATTTACATTTGAACTACTACGGAATTCCCCTTTTAAAAAAGGTGAGTTATTTTCCTTACAGGGAAATCTTTTACTGTGTTTAATACGCATGCGCTATAAAGAAAGTCACTTCCGCGGACGGTCTTTTTGAAAACGTTCATGGTGCAATGCCTCTGTCATATGACAAACTGTAATTGTATTTGCGAATAAAAAAGATTCGTGTTTTTTTAATTGCTCACTCATATAGTCTCTTTCAGGATTTGTATTAATCTGTGTACTAGTATAATAAAGCGCTTTGCGAGCTCCCCCCTAACAAAAAACAAAACAAAACAAAAAACAAAACAAAACGAAACAGATTACTTAAAAATGCTGTAATACATTCGAATAGACCCAATTAAAAAAGCTAAAATTTCATTTTTGGTAGAGGATATTCTTTCAGACGGATCGTCATTATTTACAAAATGTGCAGAACAAATATAAGAATTCTTTGTATTGTTCTAAGTTTTTATGAATTAATCTAGCCAGCTGCAGCCATATTATTTCTCTGCATCTCTATGGATTTTTTGAAGACATGACATGTCCATCAACAGTTTTACCTCTGAAATTGCTACATTTACTTCAGTAGGTCGTCTTCCGCGACCAATATCAAGTATTTGCACAGGAACACATTTGGTTACAACTAAAGGCCTAATTCATATGAATTAACAGTGTTTCTAGAAATTTATATTTGTAAAATAATTGATTCAATTTATAGTATTAAAACTTTGAATGGAATTCTAAACGATAATTTAATCGCATGTGCTCATGTAACGAAGAAAGACTACTTAACATAGCATCGACCTGCATTTGTGTTACATATGTCTTATAAGTTCTGAGCTGCATTTAATCGAAGTTTTAGTGTATGTAGGATCTAAGCATATGTATATTCCTGAGTAAAATAAATTTATTTTGTCTTAGATCAGAGAATTGACAGCAGAAACACGAAATTGATACATTAATATCCGAACATATTGCTCGTTAATACGGAAAACATTCTTTTCGTAAAGTATATTGTTTATGTTTTTAACGTTCTTTCAGTGTATTTTTTTTTTGCAAAGTGTGTAAAAACAATATCAGAGAGAGAGAGAGAGAGAGAGAGCACTCGCGCTCACCGACTTGTGGGGAACTCACACCTGACAAAGGACCTTTCTTATGGGGAAAGTTCAGAATTGTGGGGAACTCTCTCGTTCCCCACAAATATGGTCATGGGGTTTTTTGAATTCTACGTGTTCTACTGATAATATTTATTCGATTTGTGGTCATTTTTGAAAAAATCCCCATAAGTCCGTAAAATTGACTCGCAGTAATTTTCTCACTGCACCGTAAAACGAATGGTTGAGGATGCTGGGAAATGTTCATTCGGAACGCAGCGGAATTTAAACTGGTCCCCATATGATACCAATTTATTGCGGGCAATGGCTGCTCCGAGAATATGTGGTAAGTAGATTTTTTATCATATTTTAAAGATATTATAGGCTGAAAACTTAATTTAACTACGTAAATCATGCATGCAGTTATTTCTTACAGACATTCGTAAAGTAACATTTAATAAAGAATGCACGTAAAACTTTGGGAAAGTTTGACCCGACCTAGACCTCGGTTATTTTTTTTTTAAATTGTATCTTGTTTATAGGCCTAATGGCTATCCTGTAAGAACAAACTACGGATTTATATGAATTCAGCACCCCCGGGATATGGTAAGCGTTTAAGGCTTGTCCCCATTTTTTGT